TGGTTCTGTCCCCTACTCTCTCTGCAGGGATTGCAACTGCAGAGTTTCACCTCAGGCCTGTAGTCCAGGCCTGAGCTGAGTCTGGAGTTGACAAGGTGATGTAGGTGGGAGAGGAAGTTCTCCTACACACTCACCGGGCCTGGGCTAGGATTGGATATGTGGGTCCCCAAAACGCAGCAGAAATTCTCACTGTGTGGGTGGGAGGGTGCTGCTGAGTGGTGAAGGGGCTTCCAAGGGGGTGGAAGAGGGTCTCACCCACGCTGCATCTGGGCTTGGACTGGCATTTCCTGCTGGTGCAAGCTATCCAGAAGCTCTCCCACACAATCACTGGGGCCTGCGGTAGGACTGGGCTCTTCTAGCAGTTTTTGATGAAGTCCAGGAATGGTGTTTATTACAGGTAAGTGTTCTAAGTTTGAAGAGCAAGAAAATTTTATCCTGGATTAATGCTAGCCATGTTGTGTCTTGTTGTTTAATAGGCAGTGAAATCAGCTGTGCAGACTATCACTGTCGGAGGTGTAAGCACATCACAGTTTAAGACAATTATTCCTCTGGCCACCTCACCCAATGTCCAGCAGATCCAAGTGCCTGGCAGCAAATTCCACTATGTGCGCCTCGTTACTGCCACCACCGCCAGCAGCTCGACCCCCCCGACTAGCCAGAACCCCAGTACCAACACCCAACCCCTGCAGCAAGGTAAGTCAGAGGTAGCAGTACATTCTTCCACATTTGTTAGAGAGCATCAATCCTTTTCATCCTGAAATTCTGATCAAATGCTTGTTTCAGTTGGTGGTTGGAATTTTCAGCTACTGAAGAAGACAATGAGATAGATCAGAGTGGAATATAACTAGCATTTCCTCCTGCTGGAGGTCAGTAGCTAGAGGTATGCTATAACACTGAATAGTCACAGTTACTGTACTTGGAATTACTTATTTTAATTAATAAAATATTTTTTTTGTACCATAAATCAAACTCAGGACCTTCGGCTTGTGTCTTAGTTACTTTTTACTCGTTGCTGGGACAAATACCCAACACTCAAAATGAAGAAAGGAAAGGCTTATTTAGCTCACAGTTACTGGAGGATTCAGTCTATATTCCACTGGCTCCAAAGCAAACGACAGCAGTTCATGCAGCAGAAAACAATGAAGAGCAGAGGAGGAGCAGCAGCTGCAGCGGCGTCCATCAAGCCTCTCTCTTCCTTCTGCGCTGACTGCAAAAACTGGCGCTCCACAATGAAGTTCAGAGCTCCTCCAAAGTAGCGTGGCTGCGAAGGTCAAGCTCCTTTGAAGACTGGGACTTCTGCACGGAAGCAAGGCAGGGTGGCAGGAAGGTGGGCAGGGCTGCAGGAAGCCTGTCTCAATTCCTGGGCCTTGCACACCGGCAGGGCTAGGCCCCCACGCTGAAAACTGCCAGAGCTGATTCAGCCAAGTTGACACAGTATATCAACTAACACAGTTCGCCAGGCAGGTGCTTGTGCCACTGAGTTACATCCCTGACAAAATAATTTTAAATAATAAAATAATCAGTAAAAAATACTGATTTTAGTTTTGAAGCTACACAGCTCCTTTATACAATATGGATCAGTTGAAATGAGAACTAGGGGTCCAGGGAGATGGCTCAGTAGAATAAGCGCTTTCCTGACAAGCACAAGGGCCTGAGTTCAAATCCCTTGTTCCGCCAAAAAAAAAAAGACAAAAAAAAAAAAGAAGTGAGAAATAGGCAAGATACAAATAAGAATTTAATATTGCCTTTTCTCTAATTTTCAGTAGTACTTCTTCTAAATGTATAATTGCTAATAAAAAGTGACTAAAATGTTCTATTACTTCGCTGTTAGTTTTCCTTTAAGATTCCTCTTAGTCCTTCTGTTTTCTGTGTTACTGTTTAATCTTTCCTACCACCTGCATCAAACACAGGCACATATGTAACCTTTCTCATATTTACCTACTTTGTAAAAAACTGAATGTCATGAAAGAGTCAAGATATTTATAGTTTGGGCCTGAGTTTTTCTATGGAACATTACTTTATATTTCAACAATGATAAAAGCATTTGAGTTCAAGTGTGGTGGCACATGCCTGTAATCATGGCACTTGGAAGGCTGAGGCCAAAGGATCCCTGCAAGTTTGAGGCCAGCCTGTGCTAGATAGTGACTTTAAGGCCAGCCTGAAACCACATAGAGATGTATGTGGGTTTTGTTTTGCTTTTTCAAAAACAGAAGTTGAAAAAAACCCAAAAACCAGAAGCTGATAAATGTTTGTTAAACATTCATTATGTTCAAATGATGAGTGTTTATTAAAGTAAATAAATTCCGAAAAAAAAAAAAAAA